GAATCGGAAACAGGCTCCAGGCTCTGAGCCATCAGCCCAGAGCCCGACGCGGGGCTCGAACTCACGGACCGCGAGATCGTGACCTGGCTGAAGTCGGACGCTTAACCGACTGCGCCACCCAGGCGCCCCAACCAGAGTTCTTAAAGAAAGAATTAGCCTTTTTTTAAAATGTTTATTTATTTATTTTGAGAGAGAGAGTTGGAGGGGCATAAACAGAGAGAGACAGAGAGAGAATCCCAAGCAGGGAGCCTACTGTGGGGGCTCGATCCCACGAACCATGAGATCATGACCCGAGCTGAAATCAAGAATCAGATGCTTAACCGACTGAGCCACCCAGGGGGCCCCCCAAAAGTTAGTTTTTTAGGGGCCCTTGAGTGGCTCAGTCGGTTAAACGTCTGTCTGGCATCCGCCCAGGTCGTGATCTCACGGTTTGTGAGTTTGAGCCCCACATTGGGCTCTGTGCTGACAGCTCAGAGCCTGGACTTTGCCTCGGATGCTGTGTCTCCCTCTTTCTCTGCCCCTCTCCTGCTCATGCTCTGTCTCTCAGTCTCTCAAAAATAAATAAATGTTAAAAAAATTTTTTTTTAATCAGTTTTTTTTTAAAGCACTTAAAATACAGGAGAATCCATGGGTTTCTATCTATGGGATTGCCTATGGATGACAGCCAGTGGCCTTATGTTTCCAGAAAGTCATTCGAAATCTGGGGAACGGATTTTGCTGTATGGGCAGGTTCTTGGGCCCCTCCCCCAGACCACAGAACTGGGGGGACTGGAGCCCAGGATGAATGTCGAAAACACCCTCAGGGGGTCGCTCCTGGGCACATGGAAATCCGGAAATCAGTTCCCTTTGTAGGCCCTGGGAAAGAGACCCCAGAGTTACCGAGTGAGCAGGCTGAGTTATCCCTCACAGACCCCCCAGTCAGGTTCCTACGAAAGCTAAGTTTGGCTACTCCTCCCCTGATCTGTGTGGGAAAGGGATGTACGCAGTCCTCAGTGGCTGCTCTTAGGCCTGAAGCATTTTACAAGCTGCCACCAGATGGGGGTGTTTTCCTCTGCAAGGCAACTTCAAGGGGCGCAGAAAATTCATAGGAAGCCTTTACAACTCACAGCAGGGGGAGAGGGCTATTTGGATGGCCTGCCCTCTATTAGCCTTTAAAGGTCATCTGACCACAAAGGTGTCACCTTCTGCCCCTGGGCATTGGGCGCTGAAGATTTTGCCATTCTCCTGGGTAGTAAAGGTGCACCTGGCCCGCATGGGCTCCGACCAGACCCTGTGGACACAGTGGGGGCAAAGCCAGCAGGGCCTCTGCCCTCTTGGAGGTCACAGTCCCGAGTATTTGGTGGCTTAGAGCTGCAAACGCCCAAGTCCTGAGGTCTCCAGAGAAAGAGACAATGTAGCCAGAGCTTGGTGAAGAGGAAGAGAGAGAAGTCACAGATGTCCAGTGTTGGGAGGTCCTGTGTCCAGGATGGTTCAGCTGTGCTTTTCAAAGGCACTTCTGGGACAGGTGCAGGCCGAGGGACCCTGGAAGGCCATCAGGGGGGCCCATCAGAGGTTGAGTCAGGGGCTTCTGGGAGGCTGAGTGCTGAATCTGGGGGGAGGACTGTTCTGGGAGGCTGAGGCTGGGGTGGGGGGAAGCTCCAGGAGGCTGAGTGGGGGGGCAGAGGAATGAGCTTGGGGGGGCTTCGAGAGACTGAGTGGAGGGGTGAATGAGACTCTGAGAGTGTGAGTCCTCTGGGCTCTGACTGTGGCTGCAACAGACCCACACTGTTCACATCAAACCCCCTCATCAAACATAACCTATGTTCACACACACACACACACACACACACACTTAAGTAAAATCTCTCCTGAAAAGAGTGGAGTAGGGAAAAGGGAAGGAATAAAAGAGAAAGAAAAAGCTCGAAATACCCCCGTCACCCAGCGCCTCTCTGGCCCTCGAAGGGCGAGGCCGGCCCCTTCTGGCGGGAGGGTCCGTGCACCTGTCCCCATGCAGCGGGAGGGGTGAGGAAAGCCTTCCTGGGCGCAGCTGTGAGCTTCTCCCGGCCTCCAGCGGCTCCCAGCGGGGCTTCCTCGGGCTCTGAACTGTGTCCAGACCACCTTTGCGGTCCCAGCGCCTGGCACGTAGCAGATGTTCAACAAAGAGAGCTGACTTGAGTTCCTCTAATTAAATGGCGTCCGTGTGGCAGTCACTGTGCGAAGTGCTTGGGGACACAGAGGTGGGCTTTTGGTTTCTGCCCCCAGGAGGTTCCCAGTGGGGAAGGGAAGGGTGACGGGCACGTGAGCAAAACCCAACCGGCCGCTCTAGGAATCTAGAGGAGGCAGGAGGTAGGAGGCAGCGGATGAAGGGCCCAGAAAGCCTCGGACACTAACCAACCCCTCAGTCCGTTGGCGTGAACCCCGGGGCCTCGCCAGCTGAGGGGACCTCCTCTCACCGGAGACCTGACACCTGGCGCCTTCTGTCTTCCTGTCGGGTGGCCCAGGCCACTGTCCCCGAGTCCACCTTCTCCTGTGGAGTTGGGGAGAGTTGGGGAGAGCGCCCCCTCCTCCTCCTCTTGCGGCGGCCGTCCCGGGGCCCTGAGCGCGTCCCCCCTCCTGTCCTTGACAGCTTCACAGCGAGGTCGAGAAGCCCCTGATGAACTTCCGGGAGAACTTTAAGAAGGACATGAAAAAGTGTGAACACCACATCACCGACCTCCGTAAGCAGCTTGCCAGCCGTCACGCCGCAGTGGAGAAGGTGAGCGGCCTGGGAGGCCGGACCTGCTGGGAGCGGGTGGGCCGGCTCCCCCGTGGCAGGTGCGGGGGGCGGGGGGCGCCAGCCTCCAGCCCCGTCCCGGCCAAAGGGGCAGGGAGGAGCCGCTTCCCCGTGGCACTCGGGTCACTGCCACAGGGCCAGTGGGAGACACGGTGGGGCTCACTCAGGCACACGCACCGTGCTTTTGTGGGACGCCCCCCGCTGGCTCGTGTGCTGGTCCACAGGTCCTTCTCCGGGCCTCCCGGGGCTGATTTTCTCCTGAGTGCATCGCTCCCCTGCCAAGGCCTGGGAGGTCCGACCTCGCCGGGAGCTGCTGACCCCAGTGCCTTGGGGAGGGGTGCAGGACAAGGGATGCGTACTCCTGTGGGCACCCCCGAGTTTGTCAGCTGCTGCTGGCAAAGGACCCATCCGGCCCCCAAATGGGCTGGCTGGTGCTTCCGGCCACTAAGCATTGCTGGGAAAAAAACATCATGAACCAGGGAGAGAAGAGAGGACTCTTACCCGGCAAGGGGGAGGGGGGCCACATAACCCGCGGGGCCCTGTGAGCAGCGTCCCCATGTCTTTGAACCCCAGGCCCGGAAGGCCCTCACGGAGAGGCAGAGAGACCTGGAGATAAAGACCCAGCAGCTGGAGATCAAGCTGAGCAACAAGACAGAGGAGGATATCAAGAAGGCGCGGAGGAAGTCCACACAGGCTGGTGAGTGCGGCCAGCCCCGCCCCCGCCTCTCCTGCCCTCCCCTGACCTTGGCCTTGGCCGCACAGAAAGGCCAGGCTGGGGTGGGAGCCGTGACACTGTGTCCTGTCCCTGCGAGGAGCCCATAGCAGAAGTAAAGACCCCCCACGTCCCCAGGGAGTGATACTCCAAGGGCTCGCCCGTGGCGATCAGGGCTCTCCTGCCCCAGAACGGAGGCACACGTCTTGTTCAATGAAATAACCAGATTTCACCTCCTCTTGTGAAGATTCGCCCAGTTGAGTCGGTTTCTGCTTCCACCTTGTGGCAAAAATTAGCCGATGCACAAGAAGGGTAAACCAGTAAAAAACTTAGTGAATATTCCTTCAGAAAGCCAGAGTTGTTGGGTTTTTTTAAGGTTTATTTTTGAAAGAGAGAGAGAGAGAGAGAGAGAGAGACTGCGAGCAGGGGAGGGGCAGAGAGAGAGAGGGAGACACAGAATCCAAAGTGGGCTCCAGGCTCCGAGCTGTCAGCACAGAGCCCCATGCGGGGCTCGAACCCACGAACCATGAGATCGTGACCTGAGATCGGTTGTTTAACCGACTGAGCCATCCAGGAGCCCCTAGAGACCCAGAGTTTAACCGCCTACAAGGACAGTGCGTGTTGCCCTCTGGGATTAAAGCATGTGCTGTGATTAGGGTTTGGATCAGATGGCTTCTGAGTCTTTCCCACCTCAACTGCTGGTGAGCTCAGGACAGTTCATTCATCATAGAACAAAGCAGCCACCGTCTGGACGTTACGAGATACAGTGGCGAAGGAAGAGCGGATAGCAAAGCAATGTCACGTAAACACAACATTCGATGGAAAGATCTTACAACGCGTGGTGGTAATTGGATCCAGAAATAGAAGGCGTAATGTACTTAACCAGGGATTGAGAAGGGAAACCCAGGACAGGGAGAGGCTATTTAAATTCGTTTAATTTATTAACTTATTTTAAAAATAAAATTCTGTCGCTGCTTGGCAAAACATTGTAATCAGCACCTAAGAACATAAACTCTTCTCCACTGGATATAATCACTATGAACACTTACGAGTGTTTGAATTTAAAAATAAAAATTTTTTTAATATTTATTTTTGAGAGAGAGTGAGAGAGGACAGAGTCGAGCGGGGGAGGAACAGAGAGAGAGGGAGACACAGAATCTGAAGCAGGCTCCAGGCTCTGAGCTGTCAGCACGGAGCCCAACATGGGGCTCGAACTCACAAACCATGAGATCGTGACCTGAGCCGAAGTCGGATGCTTAACTGACTGAGCCACCCAGGCGTCCCCTGTATATCGGGCTTCTTAAATGGTTGAATAGTGTCCAAGTGTGTGAGTGGCCCTGAATTTATTTCATGAGTTCACCTGGTTGACGTTTGCAGGACTTTCAGATTCGTCAGCGGCCGTGATGGTTGTTGGTGTCCTGGGGTCTGTGTGTATGTGAGACTCAGTCCTCGGATAGAGAGAACACAGATGTGGATTTTCTGGGTCAAAGCGTTGTGTGGGTTTGGGTGGGCATTTCCAAATCACTTTCCAGAGAGGTGTGCGTGTTACCGAAAGTAGGGATGTCCGTTCCCTAAACTCTGGTCAGTGCTGTGTGCGATCCGACTTCGACACCATTGCTGTCTAGTGAGCATCCATATTGTGTGGGTAACTCAACTTTACATTTCTTTTTGAGTGAGTTTGAGCATTTTATTTTATTTTTTTAATTTTTTTTTTAACGTTTATTTATTTTTGAGACAGAGACAGAGCATGAACGGGGGAGGGTCAGAGAGAGGGAGACACAGAATCCGAAACAGGCTCCAGGCTCCGAGCTGTCAGCACAGAGTCCGACGCGGGGCTCGAACCCACGGACTGCGAGATCATGACCCGAGCCGGAGTCAGCCACTTAACTGACTGAGCCACCCAGGCGCCCCGAGTTTGAGCATTTTAAAAACAGACTTGTAGAGGTCACGTGTGACTTTTTCTTGTGAACTGATGAACTCCTGTCCTGTCCCCAGTTTCTTGTTGACGTAGCTGGTCTTTTTCTGACAGATTGGTTGACGAGGATTGCGTTTCTGTGTCAGGAAAATTAACCTTCTGTGGTTTGAATTGGAAATATTTTTCCGGGGTTGCCCTCGATCATTTAATTTTGGTCTTTGTGTTTCTTTCTTTTCTTCTCTCTCTGGCTTGTTGTGTTGAATTTCTTTGTACAGCGGTCTTTTCCCTTGTAAATTCTGGGTTTTGTGACTGACTTAGACCTTTCCTTTCTGAATATTTTTTTAATCACTTTTTTTGCCTTTGACCCCAGGTTTAAAAAATAAATACGTAAATATTTGCCCCCGTGGGCGTTTATTTTTCCTCACACCACTGCTCCTTGCCATGTTCCTGAAGTCCTGATTTCTCGTGTTTTCCTTTCTCTTGTGTTCTAGATGAATCTTGCGATTTGCTACTTCTACTAAATTTAAGCCAGATTTAGAAAATGTTACATTTTCACAAGCCGGGGGCTCGGTTACTTTGGCTCTCTTGTTTTGCTGTGTCTCCATTGGGGGCATTGCCATCAGACAATACGTCTCTTATCCCTAAAGTTTGGAATTATTTTGTGATGGAAGTGACTTGTCCTTGTCTTTGGATCTGATCGTGAAAAAGTCTACCTTTCCCAAACCTTTTCTGTGTGCGAGGTGCCCAGCCCCGTGTGTCACAGCCTCCGTGTTGAACCCCCCGTTCCTGCAGGGAGGTATTTCTGTGCCCTTTACAGGCGAGAAAGCAGATGGCAGGTGACAAACATTCCCCAGGATCACAGTCATGGAGCCCCGTGGCCCAGAATCCCACCTTCTTTTCTTCCAAAGACTCCTTGTCTCCGTTGCGCTGGACAGCGTGTTACCCAGAAGATGTCTCCTTTCTTTTCCTTCCCTCCCTCATCCTTTCCAAGGCTGCTGGAAGGGAGCACCTCTGGGTCCTCAGGGGGCTTGACCTCATTTGTCACCGTTGCCCCCTTAGCTCGCGTTACAGTCACACTAACTCTGCCTGTGTCCATTCCAAACACCAGACAGGTATCGGGTGACTTAACTGTCCACATGACCCTGTGAAGGTACTGTTGTCTTATAGATGTTTGCATAGATGAGGAAACTGAGGCTTAAGCAGGTTCGTTGATCTGTCCAAGTTCCCACAGCTCCTACACAGGGATGCCCGTAAGACAGCCCAGATACTCTGGTTCCAGAATCCACGTTTTCCCACTCAGCTTGTTCAGAAGGGTACCCTTGGGCTGGCTACTTGGAGAGAAGACACAGTCTCCTTCAGCTACCGTATTTCCTGGTGTCGGAGAAGTTTTCCGAAGTATGTTCTCGAAATCGGGATCGACAAAGAGGGCTTTGGGAGTGTTATCATTGTACGTTTGTAGGGTGATAGGCCAACCCCCCTCGGCCAGGCGGCGGGCGGGGGCTGGTGGGAATGTGTTTGCAGTGAAGCATACGCTTCCTTCTCTCCTGATCATTCCGTCTTGGGATCGGGGACCCATTCGCTGGCCATAGATCAAAAGCAAAGTGAACACAGCCCTTGACTGGGTTCTGTCACTCAGCCCCGTCTCCCAGCTGGCTAGGTATAGTTCAGTAGAGGGGGTACTGAGCTGGGCCCTGGGTCACGTGGACACGAGTCTCCCTGATTTCTTTCACCTCCCTTTCAGAATACCCGCGAGCCGGGGGATATTATTAAGTAACTTTGAATTTGCTGGAATTACCATACTAGACCTAAAGAGTGAGCTTCGGGTTGGCTCATGAGGTTTTCCCACCACAAAGGCCACGATGGCTTTCTGTCTCTGGCACCCTGCGATGGTCAGAAAACCACACTGAGATGGAGCTGCGTGCTCTGGTGGTACCCCAGCGGCGAGGTGCACGCCACTCACCTGAGGCTCTTCTAAAAAAGCAGTTTCCTGTTCGGCAGCCCTCGTCTGTACCCCGAGATCTGCATTTCTAGCAAGCTGTCAGCACACGTAGATGCTACAGGTCCAGGAATTGTGTTTCGGGTGATGAGGTTCTTGGTGCCTGTATACTTAGTAATGTTTGCAATTGTTTTTGCATAAAGCGTGTTTTCTTTCTGGTTAACGAAAGGCTTCAAATGTACCTGCCGTAACATGCCAGTTACAAGGTAGTAACATGCCAGCCATCGAGATTGAGTAGTTACGTTGGTTTCCCGTCTCTCTTTTATGAAATAAAATGCTGTGGGAAGAGCTCATTCCCTCCCACCTACCCTCTCTTTGTCTCCCTCTCTTTGTCACCCCTGTCCTGGAATTGGTATATAGCTGCCAGTGCACGTTTTTGTACCCTCGCTGCACACGAACGAGCCACAAACCATCAGACACGTTATTTTGTGTTTCAGAATTATATTCTGGGGCGCGCGCACACACACACACACACACGCGCGCAATTTGCAGACTTTTCCTTTTGAACTCTTGGCTGCTTGCAGGTTGCTGTGACACGTTTTAAAACCAAGAAGGACCCTCCAATCTCAAATGAAACTGGCATCTTTAGAGAGGGAAGCTTTCCTTGGGCTCGTGGTAGGATTGGGGGTGCCCTGGGAGCACCACACACGTTCGCACGTACACACGCTAAGGGAACCCTCATCCTGAGCTCTTGGTTATCTGGGGTCAAGTTCCGATGGGCGCTCCGAAGCTGTTCTCTCGTGATGCTGGGTGGCCCCTTTCCTTTGCTCTGCTTTCCATCTGTCCGCTTTCCAGTGGCTTCTACGACCCAGGGACACGAGAGGGCAGCCATGGTGAGGACAAGACAGAGTGTGATGGTGGCTGATGGTCTCTTCCAGGAGATGACCTCATGCGCTGCGTGGATCTCTACAACCAGGCCCAGTCCAAGTGGTTTGAAGAGATGGTGACCACCACACTGGTGAGTGAGCAGAGATGTGTAAGCGTGTCGGCACAGGGACCCGTGCTCAGGAAGTCCTGGGGGGGGGGGGGGGGATGCTGGCGTCTGTGAGGATGATGGAGTGGAGGTGGCCGTCGAGGTGGTCGTTAGATCCGCTCTACCGCCAAGGTCAAGACCTCGACCCTGAGCCAGTCTGTGTGGATTCAGATCCTGCTTGGGCACTTCCAACCATGTGGACACAGGAGAGGGTTGAGTCTTACTGTGTCCTCCTTGGCTGTCCTCTGAGGGGTCAGGGTCATCCAAGGATGCCCTCAACCAAACGTACAGTAGTGCCTTTAGGACAAATAGCCAGGTTGTAGGACGCATGACCCTTCCCACCCCCAGAAGGATAAGAAGCGTGTATAGAGTGGGATGGGGGGTAGTAGGTACTTAGGGAGAATGGGAGGGGAGGTCCCTGCCCAAAGGGCACAGGGAATAGGCATCAGACCCCTTTTCTTTTGCCTTCCTGAGTATTTCTTGTGAAGGGAGAGCATCTCCTCCCCAGCACCCGTTGGATTGGACAGTGAAGCGTGGTTGGCACTTGGGCCATCGGGCCGGACAAGAAGGGAGGTCTTGGGCCAGGCATTATTGTCCCCACTGCCCAAAGCTATCCTCGTCCATCCAGCACAGGACAGAAGAACTCTCTGCTTTCCCCACGTGTCAGCCCCCCAGAGCAGATTAGAGGCCTCCCCCAGGGACAGTGACCCAGTTTTCCTCCTGGTTAATCCCCTAATTAAGCCCCCCTGACTTACCCTCCTTCCCGGTTAATCACTTAGGCAGTGACCTAGTTGTGCCCAGAACAGCAGTCTGATCCCCTAAATTCCCAAGGTGCTGCGGAACCCTCTAGAAGCCAGAGGACAAACCCTTTCTCTTCCGTTTCCCAATGGCCATCCCCCCAGCTCCCTGCTTCCCCTGACCTGGTCTCTGGTCTGCACCTCAGCACCTGGAATGGACAGAGGAGGGGAGGTTGTTCCGCAGAGGCCCAGGGACAGAGTCCCAAGAGTCGGAGGCACAGAACCTCCACACGTGACCTATTTGTCCACCTCGTCGGGAACTAGGGCTGGGCATGCACTGGTGCAGAATCAGGAGTCTGAGCCCAACAGACCCTGCTTCGAACCCCACTGCTCCCCCATCATGCCGCGTGCTTCGGGCAAGCGATGCTTGTGTGTTAAAATCATCGAGGACAATTAAGTCGCGTGTCTTGCGTACAGGGCGGGCTGGGACCTGCGTGGTGGGAAGGTCCCCCGAGGGGAGGGCGCACGCTCAGGGCTGTGTGGTCTCCTCCTCGGCAGGAGCTAGAGCGGCTGGAGGCGGAGAGGGTAGAGATGATTCGACAGCATCTATGCCAGTACACACAGCTGCGGCACGAGACAGACATGTTCAACCAAAGCGTGAGTTCCCTGCCCGGGGCCGGTAGGACCCACGGGGCGGGGCGAGAGGAGAGCCACCCTGCGCTGGGCTGGTGAAGGTGGTGCGTGGCAGGTGCTGGAACCCACGGGCCACCCCTTGGGAGGGGCTCACGGTCTGTTCTGCACGTCCGTGTGAATCCATCCCAAGCACGTGACTTGGAGACACACGTGGGCTGTTCCCTTGAGGAGAGAGAAGGTCATGACCATTGAAGTCCTGAAGGCCTTATTGCCTCCCCTGGCAAATGTCTTTTTTTGTTTGTTTATTCACTTATTTATTTTTTAAATGTTTATTTATTTTTGAGACAGAGAGACAGAGCATAAGCAGGGGGAGGGCAGAGAGAGAGAGGGAAACACAGAATCTCAGGCTGCAGGCTCTGAGCCATCAGCACAGAGCCCGACGCGGGGCTCAAACCCACAAACCATGAGATCACGACCTGAGCTGAAGTTGGACGCTTAACCGACTGAGTCCCCCCCAGGCGCCCCGAGTTTATTTATTTATTTCGAGAGAGAGAGAGAGAGAGAGTCAGAGAGAGAGAATCCCAACCAGGCTCCGTGCTGTCGGCACAGAGCCCAACACGGGGCTTGAACCCACCAACCATGAGATCATGACCTGAGCTGAAATCAAGACTCAGGCACTTAACTGACTGAGCCACCCAGGCACCGCCTCCCCTGGCAAATTTCTTACCACCTGCCTGCTCACCCCCAAAATAGTAAATAACCCGGAAGTGTTTTTCAAAATCTCTAAAGCTGAAGTTCTATCTGCCATGTTCTTGGATGGTTAAGGTGGGGACAGATGGAGGAGTTCCCGGACTGGTGGCCATGGGCCACCCTGCCTGGTCACGCAGGCCTGTGGGCTGGAGGGCAGAAGGGGGACAGGAGCCTGGGGCTCCCTGCTCTTGCAACCCTGCGTACGGCCGTCCCTCCCCAGGGCCTCCCTTGGGGCCCCCACGACCTTCTAGAAAGGCTACTCCGAAGGCCAGAAGGCATAAGCAGCGTGGTCCAATGGTGCTGTCCCCAGCCGCCACCTCTGACCACGTCCCTTTCTCTGTCCCTTACAGACAGTCGAGCCTGTGGACCAACTGCTTCGGAAAGTGGACCCAGCCAAAGACAGGGAGCTGTGGGTCAGAGAGCACAAGACAGGCAACATCCGCCCCGTGGACATGGAGATTTAGATGGGCATGCACGGCCCCGGGGGTCCTGCCGAGGAGAGGGGCCGGGGGGTCCCATGGAGAGCAGGTGGCCAGGGGGCCGCTGCTGGGTGCAGCTGTCCTCCCGCCCACTGTCCGGGTCTGCTGAGCTGGTGATTCCAGAAAGGCGGCCCCGCCGGGAGCTGCCCGTGTCCCCAGGCCAAGAAGACCGATCCACAGCCCTGCCCTTGTCTCCGAGGCTGAAGCCCCCCGATTCCTGTCCTGTGCTTGCTGCTCCGAGAACAGACTGAGGCTGGAACTTTATGGTCCCTGCTGCACCCTGTAGGGGTCACGTCCCCACCCAGAGCTGGCTGCGTCGCACGCTTGTGTCCCCAGAAGCCCCAAGGCCCTGCCTCCGGCTGTGTCGCGGGCTTTGGAGGGTCCATGATTCCGACCCTCATCCTGGGTTGGAGAAAGGTCCCTGTCTCCAACCCAGGATGAGGGTCGGAATCATGGATAGAAGGCACCGTTCAGCTCAACAGCCCGCACCCAGAACCTCTTGCGGCCCGCCCTCTTAGTTTTTTTTCCCCCCGTTGCATTCTGGGAACCCACATCCTGGCTCTTCCTTTGCCACTTTTCATCGTCTGGGGTCTTGGGAATAAGGCCTGGTTCCTCTCTACCCAGACTGACCCTGCCTGGAGAGGTCAGGACGGAACTACCTCATTCAGCACATCGGCCCCAAGTCAGAGTGTTGAGTCGTGTTTTATATTCGGTCAGGCATCTCCTGTCAGGTCTCTGGGGCTGGAAACCTTCCTCCAACCCAGCCCTTGGTTGTTTCCTCAAGGAAGCTCCCTCCCCCACCCCCTCCCGGGCTCTTACTGGGGCTGGGTCGGTCCCCTGTGGGAGATGGGTTGGGATGGGTCTTTGCCACCCCCAGAAGAGGGCTCCCCCTGCTTGTGCGTGGGGGGTGGGGGGGTGACTCTCCAACCCCCCCCCCCCAACCCCCATGAGGCTTTCCCTCCCTGGTGGACACCGTGCGGGCATGGCAGACGGTCCTGGCTTCCAGGCAGTGTCCTGTCACCTTGACCTCCGCTTCTGCACAATCCAGAGCCCTGCTTGGTGCTGGTGCCCCCTTCCCCTTTTGCCACCCCTCCCCCCCGAATTCCTGGGAAAGCCGGGTTAGTGCGTGACTTGGGAAGCTTTCAGCCCGTCCCATTGGGTCCTCGCTCATCAGTCTCTCCCTTTATAGAAACACGGCAAACAACCTTGTGCAGCATCTAACCCTGAGAATTGGCTCCAGGGGACCCGTAGAAGTGCCCCCTGAAGGTGGGCGTGGTCACACGGCCAGCAGGGGGCAGAGTCTAGCCCAGAACCCGTGCCCTGAGAGCCCATCCTTCTTAGTTCATCTTTCCCTTCGATTACTTTGGACGTGCAGGGTCCATACCCCACCCCCCCCCACCCCCCAACACACACAAGGTCATGATTCTAAGAGCACAACTCGCTGGTCCCTGGGTCTCACGTGCCGGGAGTTGATGACTTCGAGTCTTTCGGCCCCTCTTTCACTGATTCAGAATTACCGCCTCACAGCTTCTAGTAGAAAGATGCTGAGTATTCTAGAGCAAGCCAGACGTTGTCACTTTTCTTCTTGAACCGTCCCCGACCCAGAAAGATCAGCGTAAGAGCCTTCCCCAGCACGAGAGTGTGAGAATGGGTGCGTCCCTGCCACGGAGGACCACAGCTTCCAGATCTGGGGTTGGCGCCCATGACACCAGCGACCAATTTTAGGATGTTATTTCTGGGTTTCTCTATTCAAAATGGGTGCTCCAGGTATCGCTTTGTGGCTTAGTAAACTAATTTGTGGGTGATTTTCAAATGTTCAAAGCCAGTAAGTAGCCTTGTTACTAACACATATTTTGAGTGCGATACGGCTCGTTGATTTTGTTTTCTCCTTCCCGTGTGAGGATTCTTGAGTCTTCCTTTGCTCCCTGGGACAGGGGGAGCTCTCTTGCCTTTTCCAGGGGAGCCTGGATTGGGCCCCGTGTGGGCCGGTCTATTTTCCGGAATCATTCTTCCCGCCCCCCCTCCCCCACGTTAGTACACACTTCGTTTCTTTGCTTTTCGTTGTTCTCTCCTCCTCCGTTCATTGAGAATTTAGAGAAGGCTGGGCAGTGCCCTGAGATCTGGGGACAAGACCGGGCACAGGATCTCTTCGTTTGTGTAGACTTAGACTTTTTTCACCGGGGCTCTTGCAATTTGGCGACCTTGGCATTCACACCCAAGTACTCTCTGCAGCATTGAGGTTTCCTGAGATCCCGTTATGCTGGTAGATCCGCGTTCATTCATTCACTCGCTCACTCGTTCACTTATCGAGCGATACTGGGCATGAGCCAGGCGGGGTGCTGGAAACGTAGCCACATGTGAGACCGGCACTCTCTCCCCATCCCCTTTGTTCTCCACGCAGACAAGGGGCTCTTGGGAGGTCTTTCTGGACAGTGAGAGCATTGCATCTGTCCCACATTCGACCCACCTGGAGCCTGTCATGAGAACACAAACCACCGCCAGTGCGGGGCCCACCATTGGATGGCAGGTGGACAGGTGGACAGTCAACAAGAGTGTAATCACCTGGTCACCAGAGCTCGCAGCCCGTATCCGACTGGGATCTCAGAGATCTCTCTTGTTTCTTGTAAATAACTCTCCTCTCTTCACAAAGAGGAATAACGAAGCCCAAGGCCGGCCAGCGAGCCCAGTGAATGAAGAGCGCAGTCTGTTCACGGGGCTCCTGCCCTGGGGGGGGAACCGAGCTTAGGGTGAAGTCTAGAATGTCCCAAAGCGAGCTTTGGGAGTAACGCTCCATCTTGTTGTTGCTGTTCTCTTTTGTTCTTGCGTTCGGGTTAGAAGAGGGTTGGCCGGGCGTATTCGGGAGTGTGTCTGGAATGTTCCTGAGCACCTCCATTGTTCTCTTTCTCGGAACAGGTGGGTCCTTCTCCCTGCCCCCCGGGAAACATGGACGTACCTCGTTTGGTCAGTGAAAGCCAGATCGTTGAGAAAAGAAATGTTAAGACAAATGGTGTGCAGAGTAAGTCGGTTTCCACGACAGTGTCTGGGAGAAATCTGTTGTTCCTTCCTTTTTTTTTTTTTTTTTTTTTTTTTTTTCTGTCGCCTTCAATCACTATTGCAAAGCACCGGCCAGCAGAGCCATAGGGTAGCTACCATCAAGACCACCTTGGGTCTCCTTTCTACCCTCCACCCACCTCCTGTCGAGCCAGGAGCATTTCTGCAGTAGGAGGCCCCCCTCATCGGGGCTGGTTAGCGACTGAAGCAGACGGGAACGCTGTGCATGTGGACAAAGCAGGGCTTTCTAATCCCTTTGTGAGAACCAATCGATTACTGGATGAGTGGATGGGTGCATGAACATCTCGGGCTGAGCCAAACTCCCTTCTTGGAAACACAAGCCATAAACTTCAAAGGACGGCAAAGACTTTGGCTCGTTTTAAGTGATTTCGCTTCCAGCCGTGCGTGGCCTTGACAGGGAGATCTTAAACAGGACCCTGTGCTGGTGGTCGTGTAGACAGAGAAAGCACTTTAAAGATGTGAAGTGAGGTACAGATCCGCATATTCCCCCCCCCAACCCCGTCGCCCCTCCAAGACGTACTGCCTTTTCTTCAGGTTTATCGAGAGGTATTTGACGTAACAGTATCGGGGCTCATTGATGTGCAGTGAGAGTCCCCCTGGCCCGTGAGTTTTGACAAATGCACCACCAAAATCAACATAATATTTCCATCGCTCCTGAAAATTCCCTGCGGCTCCCTTATGGTCGATCCACTCCTGTCCCCCTTCCCCCCACTCCCGCTGGTGGGTTTTCTGATGCTGTGGTGTTTCCCTCGTCTAGAATGTTGGAGAAACGGAGTTGCTGATGCAGCCCTCGCGCCTTCTTCCTCTCGGCTTAATGCTTTGGGTCACCCACGTTGTGCGTGTGTCACCAGCGTGTCCCCTTGTCTCGCAGAGTAGCGCTCCGTTGCACGGATGGGTGACCCACGGCCGCTTCCCCACTTTTTGAAGTGAGTTGTTCGCGCCCGTGAGTGGTTCCCGGCCCCGGGGTCTCCGGCTTGTTTGCATGGCTGCTTCCTGTGTCTCCCGAGGTTCCCTCTCCAGATGCCAGCTGTGCCCACAGTGGTTCTTTGTAGTCCATTTGAGGCTTTTGTGCAGAAAGGGGCCAGGGAAGTGGGGGGGAAGGGGGCCTCCCGCTTGTGTTGCACTGTTGGCTGGCAAATCCACGCACTCCTGGGGACCCTGGCTTCAACCCCCGCCGTGGCCCTGGGCAGGCACTGAGCATTAGGGGGTGTGGAAAGTGAACAGACAAAGCGGGGGGTGAGAACACGGGGCTGTATTGTCAGCGGCCTTCCCCTGGATCTGTGTCGCTTCGTTGGCGGGCTGCAGGTGTCCATTCTGGTCTCCCCAGGCTCCACCAGCTACTTTGCATGCTGTCCCCTTCTTGTTTCCAGTCCCTCACCTGACACCCGGTCGTGCCTGGCCTGGGCCCCATGGGCGCCGTCGTGCACGCTGGGGTCTGGAACCTGCCCGAGAGGGGTACCCTGGCACTTCTCTGTGTAGACGCGAAGCAGAGCTAAAATTAAAGAGCTTCCTGAGCCGGTGAGAATGAGGCAGTTTCTCCCGGGCCCCCGAAGGAAGCAGAAGTCATTATCTTTTGGATCTTGTCCGCCGATCTTTGATCCCGTGTGCTGAGGTCTTCGGGTGTGAAGAACGCGTCTCTTCCCGTGAGGTTCCTGTCCCTGCCGGAGCCTCGTTCAGCTGGCGGTCACATCGAGCCAGGCGTGTGCCTGTGGCCCACTGGGTAGTGGCCAGTGGTGACGGAGATAGGATCAAACCCCACTAACGCCGGGCAGGCTATGGGCGTGACCCCCAAGGTAATGACTCCACCAACCGTGTCTCGCTTAGGTCCTGCTCAGTGGAAGGTGAGCCCTTGAAGGCAACCAGGCACCCCCTGCCCCACCCCCAGCAAACAGAAGACATTCCTGGGTCCAGGCCAGGTGAAGGTGTTGGCCGTGGAGCCCAAGTCTGCAGGGTCCCATGCTTCGTGGGCGCCTCTGGGTCGAGATGTGCCAGGAAGGACTCCCAACATCCCCCCCCACCCCCGCGGGAGAATTTTTTTTGTGGACGGTGAAGGACCCAATCCTGTTGCAACAGGCTTGGGTGGGAATGAGACCGGTGACCAGAACCGATGGTTCGTTTTCCTTGACCCTTTAGATGCTGACGCGTGGCTCTGTCCGGAGCCTTTCTGTTGGGAGGGTCCTCTGACGGAGACGGGTGGCGGTGCCCCTCGGATCTCTCTGTGTGCCGTTCCGGGGACATTGACCCTTGGTGTTTGAGAGACGTTTCTAGTAGGATTGCAGTGGTGGAATGCAAAAGGTCTGGGCTCGCGGGCGCTGTAATGGGGACGGTGTGACGTGGGGACAGAGAAGGAAAGCATATGGCGTCAGGGCAAGAGCACTGGACTGGCCCCACTCTGCTGCCTCATTCGTCCTGTAACCCAAAGTTAAGTCACATTCCCTCCCGAGACCTCTGTACTCCCCTGTCAAGCGGAGACGGGCCCTTTCTGGCATCGCGCTCAGCAGACTGGCTCTTAGCAGCCACGTGGACCCAGGAACAGACCTATAAAGGGACGCCAGCCGTCCTTGGTGACAGGGGGTCCCAAATTGGCATCCCTTCCCTTCCCTTCCCTTCGGAAGAGGAGATGGGGGCCGGGGGCGGGGGCAGCCCTTTCACAGACGAGCACATCAGCAAAGCCCGTGACAGTGGAATTTTCTAACAAAATAAACTTGCTTATTTGGTCTGTTTTCTGTAACTTTTGCTAAATACTTTATACATTTTTAATGTTAAAAAGCTGCGTCTCCTGCCAGCATTGCTCATCCTGGTATGAATGTGTTTACCCCACATTGTATATCCTTCCTTCCTCTGGCTGCCTAGATCAGTAAATAACATCGATGTACCATAATTTATAAGTAACACTGTTGAAACTCTGATCCCTATGGAGGCTGTAACTCGCCCTTTCCTCCGGTCCCCTGGCTGCCCCCCGCCCCGTCCCCCGTAATAGCATTTGTGTGTATTAATGCTAAAGAACTAATGTTTAAAGGGTTTAAATTTTGAAGGCGTTTGCTATATATAATTGTTCTGCATTATTATAAAGCGTTTTCAGGAAGTTAAATGCTCTCTCTCTCTTTCTTCCCCCCGCCCCCCGACTTTGGCTCTGTGTATACACTCGAGATGCTTACATTCATCCCATGTAAAATAAACTGTCCAGAGACACTGGGTCCTGCTGGGTGACCCTCCTTCCTGGAGCCCGCTGTCACCCTCTCCTTTGTATAAATGGGCTCAGCATAACCACAGGGCGCCCAGGGGTGGTGATCATTTTATGCCTGATGTCTTAGCAGAGGGCACCTAGGCACTGACCGCCCCCCCCCCCAGATGGGTACCACGATGCCAGACCCATGCACTTGGCCCTGCTCGGCCCCCTTCCCTGGTGCCTAACGTCCCTGTGGACAGAAGTGGCTCCTGGCTTTTGTTCTCCCCCCATCCATCCATCCATCCAACCATTCATCCATGCGGTAATTATCGAGCACGTACTCTATCCCAAACACCACTTTAGGTCGTGGGGACGCATCGGCGAGTGAGCCCTGCCCTCGTGGACCTGGCTTTCCAGCAGGGAGAGGCAAACAAAGAAGGTCGACATAATAACGAATCTAGTATGGCTGTGGAAGGTGCTAGGTGTTCGGGAGAAAGAAGCACAGGGCAGGGTGTGAGGCTGACCGTGGGTACGTCGCAGTATTAAAGAGGGCAGTTGGGGCGGCCTCCTTGAGAAGGCGGCATTGGATCGAAGGCAAGGAGACCCGGG